GGTAAGGCAGGTAAATACAAAATAAGTGGTCTATTGATATTACATTACAATATATGATAAAATAATTTTATCCATGTTTCCATACTTTGTTGCCATCTTGTTTAGAATTGAAATTCTCTAATAGTAATTTCAAATATACCTTATTTTATTTAGCCAAATACCAAATTAAGTAGAGACTAGCTGCATTTGAAACTCCAATGCTGTAATTTCAAGATAGACCTCAAGTTGTGCACAAACCTTGATGATTTGAGATGTGCCTAAAAATTTGTCTTGCTATATTTCATAATTCTTATAATTCAGTTCATCAAACACTTTGAAAATTCCTACCAGGTGCCAGACACAATGCTGGGAGTTTAGGCACAAAAGTAAATGGTTGCTGCCCTTTAGACACTAAACATAATTTAAATCTAACATGTTAGATATTGAGGTAAAGAGATATGTCAAGGGTCCTATTTGAAGCATAAAGGAGAGGCACGTAACCCAACCTTTGGGTTTTAAAAACGTCAGAGCTTCTAAGTGGTGGTGGTGGTGGTGGTGGGGAGATCACACTCTATGTTTGAGATGTGAAGGATGCATAAGAAAAGTTAGCCATTTAAGGAAAGATAGAAAGGATATTTCAGGCAGCAAAGTATAACAAAGATGTGGAGGCAAAATATGAGATATGAGTGTGGCAGGAAGTGAAGCTGGTGTGCACCTGGCCTCAAGCTTTTGTGTGTCGTGCTGTAAGGACTTAATAGTTTGTAGGTACCAGGAAGCTAATGAAGAGATCAAAGCAGACCATTTGATTCTCTAGGTGTTTTCATTTATTGTAGATGATATATTGTTTTTATGAAACATTTTTGTTTGATAAGTTTGAAATGTATATCATGATGAATATTTTAAAAATAGAGCTACCTAGAGATTTATAGGGATTGTCTAACTTTTGATCATATCACATTTGCTTTCTCCTTTTAAGTTAAAGCCCAGATCAAATCCAACAGTTCCTTCTGTTCCTTCACTGATCCATATCTAAATTCTTATTGTAATTACTGTAATAGGCGTTAAGGAAAAAATCTTTGGAAATAAGTTTGAGAAATGCAGAGAAAATGTTGAGGCCTTAAAAAACCTGAGTATTAATTGCTCTTGAACTTCTAGCCAAGTAAACCCTTAATGTAGAAAGGGTTATGTTTTGCTGTTACAGATGGGTTTCTGCATTTAGAGTCCATTCATACATATTTACATCCATCTTTTTTACCCAAAGATATTTATTAATTCTTATTGATTATTAAAGTAGTCTCTGCATAATGTAGATAACTTAAATACCGGAAAATATAAATACCGCCATAATCTCACCACCCAGAGATAACCACTGTTAACATTTTGCCATTGTTTTCTAGTCTTTTCTTCTATTTGCTTTTATATTTTCCCACAAAATTATCCTATTGTATATAAAGTTTTATGTCTTCCTTTTTTCACTTAGTAATTTGAGTTTAAAAGATTCTTTGAAAGCACAGTTTTTAAGTGTATAATATCCTATTATTTAGGTATATTTAACCATTTCCTTGTTGTTGGACTTTGGGATTCATTCATTTCACAAGTTCCTTATTTTTTTTCAATATTATAAAGCTTCATTGAACATAAATTTTTGACTACATGTGAGATCCATATTGACACTTTTGACACTTGAAAGTAGAAAATACTTATTTATAAAATATATCTTAGTTCATCTAGAGTTCTTATGAGTAGATTACTTTGTAGCTTATATATTGCAGCACGAAATAAACATCATAGATTCTAGAATCTAGATGAGGTGAACATTCTAGATTCAGGGGCCTGTATTCTGTCTGTATGATTGAGTTGGATGTGTTCTTGTTCTCATGTTTTCCAAGTCCCAATTGATGAACAGTGTTGGAAATGTAGCTTTATTGTATCCATGATACAGGTACATCTCTTCTTTCTATGTATATATTGTATAAAATAAATGCATATTCATAGACTTTTATTTTAATTATTAAAAATTATTTTTTCAAGTACAGTTTATATTCAGTATTATTTTGTGTTAGATTCAGGTGTATAGCATAGTGGTGAGACAATCATATACTTTACAATATGCTCCCCCCAGTGTTTCCAGTACGTACTTTGCACTGTACATAGTTATTACAGTAGTATTGACTGTATTCCCTATGCTGTACTTTACATCCCCATGACTATTTTGTAACTACCAATATGTACTTCTTCATCCCTTCACCTTTCTCACCCAGGCCCCCAACCCCTTTCTCCTGTGGCAGTCATCAGTCTGTTCTCTGTATTTTTGAATGTTTCAGTTTTGTTTGTTTATTTTGTTCTTTAGATTCCACATAGACTTTTAAATTTAGAAAAAAATTGTGACAACACAAAGATGACCTGAAAAAAAATAGATTGAGCATAGAAATTGGTAACTATATTGATTTTTTTGGGGACTATGTGACCAGTGAAACTCAGTGCCATCAGAACTAAGAAAACACACAAATAGTTCATTAAACAGAATAAAAGAGACAGAATTTTAAGAGTCAAGTTTAAACTAACTGGGGTGTGAGTTTTGTATATGGAAACAGGGTATTCAGCAACGGCAGGAGACTGCATAGAGAGTATCTTTGGCTAGAATATTAACAGTATTTATGTATTGGACAATCATGGTACAGTCTCATGACTAGCAGTGTACCAGTGCCATTCTACATGAGTTTGTATTTTAATTTTTAATCTTCAGAGCTCTGCAAGATAGATTATATTATCATCCATACTTTAGAACAGGGGTGGGGAACCTTTTTTTCTGCCAAGGGCCATTTGAGTATTTATAACATCATTTGCGGGCCATGCAAAATTATCAACTTAAAAATTAGCCTGCTTATTTGGTCAAACATTTAGTTGAATCTATTGAATTTTGAGTCCCACCTGCAGTTGCCTTGGCAGTGCCAGACCATATGATTTCTATGTGGCCTGAAGGCTGGACGTTTCCCACCCCTGCTTTAGAAGCAGCAGGATCGAAGCATTCCTCGCTACTAATCAGAAATACAAAGTAAATTACAAAATTACATTTCACCCTCATCACACTAGAATAGCCAAAATTAAAAGTCCAAATAGGGCAAATGTTGGCAAAGAAATGATAAGCCCTCTCACCCAGTGGTAGTGGGAGCGTAAACTGGGGATGAAAAGAAGGGACCGACTTCAACTGTGTCTATGATGTCATATTTATTTTTAATTTAAACACAATATGGCAAAGTAATAAGGTTGAAAAAGCAAGTGTTTGTTATGATGTTTATTTGAAATATTTATTTCTTATTTTTAAAAGGAGCTGTATTAAAATAGTTACTAGGCTGCCATAATAAAGTACTGCAGATTGGGTGATTTAAGCAATATAAATTTATTGTCTGAACAATGCTGGAGAGTAGAAGTTTGAAATCAGTGTTGGCAGGGTCAGTGTCTTCTGTGGTCTTTCCCTTTGGTTTATAAATGGACTTTTCCCTGTGTCTCCACATGTTCTCCCCTCTGCGTATTTCTGTGTCCTGATCTCTTTTTATTAGGACACCAGTCCTATTGGATTAGGGCCCACCCTAATAATCTCATGTTTAACTTAATTACCTCCTTAAAGGCCCTATCTCCAAATACAGTCACTTTCTGAGGTACTGGGGGTTAGAAGTTCAACATACAAATTTTGAGGGGAGCATAATTCAGCCCATAACAGTAACAAAGTTAAATAATTTAGTTACGATCTCATAGCTAGTATGTTGGATAAATGGGATTTAGACTTAGAGGTGATTCAGTCCAAATGTTATTTCAGAATGCTATGCTGCTACCCTTAGACTACTAGAGATGTACCACAAACTAATTAGGGCTTTGTTTTCCCAAAGACACAGAGAGTTAGAGAAAAAATTTTCTGACTTAAGAATAAAACAGAAAACATAGAAGCTGAAAGCGCTGAACTCAGTCACACGCTTATTTGCTGGGTTGAATTTAGTTGGCATTTGGATTTAGGAAGGTAAAGAAACAGTGCATGCCAAGTAGGAATAAGGAAAGGAAAAATGTGGCAGAGAAAGAACAAAAGCCTAAGGGGTTATTGTAAGAGGGTGCTAGAACAGTAATTTATTAGAGGGGCATAGCAGAAAGTGAGAAGTATCTTAAACTATATATTCTGCTATCATATGAATTCCATTAATATGAAATAGTAGTTTTGATGTTAAAATTGAATACATGTAAATATCACAAAGTTTGAGATAAATATGAGCTTCAGATGTAGATCAGAACTCCAGAATAAGGTTTTCTGTATGGTTAGTCACTCATCCAAAATAGGTATAGAGCTCTTTCTACATGGCAGGCTCTGTTCTTGGTTTTGCCAAAAGAAAGAAACTCTAAGACCTATGAAAGTTTCTGAATTTTGGATTGAAATGTAGACAGTCTGTGAAACAAATTCTATTTCTTGTAATCATTTGATGTCAGTAATACAGCTCACAAAAGATTAATTCATCACCAAATTTGTTTGGCCATGTGAAATTAAGTTTAAAAAGAATAATCATTACTTTGTTATGATAAATTACCTTGTTTTGTGAAGATATAACTTTAAAGAATAAGAGTTTAAAAACAAAATTGTATGATTGCTCGTATTATTATAACTGTTTTTTAAAGAATTTTACCGTTTTTTACAATAGTTTTATCCTGAATGAAGTCAGTAGCTTGGTTCGAGTGCCATACCAGTTGCGTGTGCAACTTTTTCCTTGTGGGTAGAATGTGGGTAGCAGTGTGCTTGAGTTCAGCTCTTTAAATCTTCTTTTTGGTTGTATCTTATAACTATATTTGGAGCTGATAATGTAATGCACATCCTGTCTGAGATAACATCGTTTTTTTTCTTCTTAATTACACTGAAGTTACATCCTGTATCTTCTCTTTTTTTTAAATAGGTAAAAATAAGTGACTGAAAAAGCGTATCTGGAAGTCATCCAACATGTCGAGGAGAAGATTTGATTGCCGAAGTATTTCAGGCTTGCTAACTACAACTCCTCAAACTCCAATGAAAACGGAAAACTTTAATAATTTTTATACACTGACATCTAAAGAGCTAGGAAGGTAAGGAAATTTTATGATATGTATGCTGTTTAAATTCACAATTTGGATTTGTGTGTCTATAGTTATATAAAACTCAATCATTATTTAACAATGATTAGAAAGAAAAGTCGTTATTTCTGCTGTTATACAGTGTCTAGTCTTAACTGACTAAGGATTAGTGAGCTTTTGTGATATGTGATATATTCCGCCTAACTTTAGAGCCCCTGATAGGAGGTCTGGGTTTTTATTTAAGGTGGTACATGGAAAGAGGCAGATTAGCATAGTGACCTGCCAACAAGCTCTGTGACCTCAATTAAATTACTATACTTCTTGGTGCTGTAGTTTCCTCATCTGAGAAGCGAGGATGAAAATAATTGTACCTATCTTAGTTATATGGTTATTAATGTTTATAAAACACTTAGTAGAGTGCTATATAAGTTTTTGTTAAATAAAAAATTCCTAGGATATTGTGCTGGGTTAAAAAAAATAAATGGTTAGATTGTCTTTCTTTCCTAAATTAAACAAAAAGATTAACTCATATTTGATAGTATAATTCTCTATGACAAAGAACGTATGTTCTATAAGTAAAACCTGTACTTACACTAATACTAATCTGTTTTGACTTAACCAATGTGTCAATTCCTTAATGACCTGAGATTATAAGACCATTTAACGCTACAATTTTAATATATATGGAAGTTATAAAAGGTATACCAAGTTATTTGTTATATATTCAGTATCTGTTAAATTAAAGACTTAACAAAGGGTTAGAAAATGGTGATCAGTTTCTATCTTCTGTTTGACTTTAGTTCTGGAGGCAGTGTTTTGGCTTATGTTAAAATGGCGTACTAAGTCTGTGTTTGCATTGATAAATGTACAGTAAAATAGTATTATTGATTTTTATCTTAAAAATCTTAATGTGAAAACAAAAATTGACTGAATAATGAAAAGTAATTATATTTTTGGTAGATATTGGATGCAGTCTTTACTTTGCAAAATAAGGATGATACCTACATCATCAGACTAAGAGCTAAATGTGAAAGTTATACATTTCATAATTTCTGGCATATTTATTTAATTATGTGTTTAAAATATTTGGGTGCTTTAATAGTGTATTAAAAGATATAGTTTTAAAAACCTTTCAGAATATTTTTAAAAAATCATTTAGTTCTAAATCTATAATTCTCTCTGCATTATAATAGGAAAGCATAAGTTTTCTTTTAATTACCTATATCTCACACAGAATAGTCATAGAATCTTTGCATTGGAAGGACTTTGGTGGTCAGTGGTCTTCTAATATAATTTTTATGCAGTCCAGCAGCCTTTTGTATAATTTCCTTGACAGGCTGCTTCAACTTGGCTGCTTCAGTGATGGGGAACTCACTACTTCAGAATGTGTCTGTTCCATTTTGTGAGCACTTCTTAGGCACACTAAGTTCTGTTTTCTGCTCTATTAGCATCTACCCGATTGACACAGTTCTCCTTTTTGTAGCTGCTTATAATCTCCATGTGAAAATCTTTCAGAGATTTGAATATGGCTAAACATTGCCAGTTTCCCTAAATGCTCATCTTATGACCTGATTTCCAGATAGCCTTCCTTGATATCCAGTAACCTTCTGAACCACTTTGTATTTTCCATTGTCAGTCTTAAAATGAGGAGACTTGGAGTGGACATAGTATTATCAATATCTTACCATCTACAATAGAAAAAAACTTTGATTCCACAAATATGTGTCATATGGCATCCTTTAGTATATTGTAAAAACAGATTAAATTGGAAGTCGGTTGACCTATTTTTACTCTGATCCTAAATTTGTCTAAAGTTGTGTGATCTACTTAGTTGTGTGATTTCCTTTTCTTTAAGATGTGAGGGTGGACTAGATGTCTCCAGTTTTCCTTCTGTTGCAAAAATGTTTGGAAACTGCTTTGAGCAGGTAACTGAATATGCCTTGAACAATATACACAATAAAGGGCATTCTTTTCTATTTTTCTAAGCTACTATTTGGATGAGTAGATGTACATACATGTATTAAATTAACTTTGCAAAATAAGGGATATTACCGGAGCTGGCAAGTCTATAAAATTTGTTTCAGGGTTTTGGAAAAGTTAAACTTTGCAGAGGATAGTATTAATAATTCTGAATTGTTTTACAAATGAGATACCATCATAAAAATCATAAACTTGAATCAGGTGTACTCTTTAACATTTTAGAGCAAAAACTCTTGATAGAATGTGAAGAAAACAAATTTAGATTTCTAATATCTTTATGAAAGAGACCTAACACTTTTTTAATTGATATGGGCTGAGTCACGTGGTAAGTGCTGATATATCTAATTAGTAAACCTTGATAAATTGGAAATCATGCCCTTTCATCTGCCAAGAACTTGCTTTAAGTTCTTTTAATATTACCAATTTTAATATTCTATACTTTTGTGAAATGGAAATTAGGATTATAATCTTATTTTTCCTGAGGCTTGTACATTTTGAAATATATAAATGTATAATTCTAGCATGTGGTGAACTACAAAGTTATCTTTCTAAATCAATTGCTTTTTATTAATTTTATTAATTTTAAGATGTTAGTGTTTTAGAATTTATTTTCCTTTAGCAAACTAAAATAACATGTAAAAGCTAACAGTTCGTTTTTGACTATTCTCAAAACTCTGTGTTCCTGTTTTTTAACATGTTGGGTAAGTTTTTTCTACCCTTCCCCCTACTGAGGCAAGGTTTCATAGGCCTTCTGTGGTCTGAAGGGTGAGGCTGATGCAGAAATAAACGTCAGCTTCCTTTGTGGCTTACCCTCCCCCACTCCTTTCACATTATATTGTCTATTCTAGAATGCAGAAGGGTAACTACTAGACCTTTTCACTGCTGGGAAATCTAGTCAGATTTGCCTTTTTAGGGTATGAATTAATTATATGTACTTGTTAAGGGTTTTAAATTTTCTTAAATGTTTCTGTTAAATTTGATATTGGAACATTATGTATTGAAGTTTATTTTGATAATTCTAAACCATAATTAGCATTTTAGAATAGAAATCAAATTTTTTTTCCCCCCTAAGTCATTTGATAATTATGGTAAAAATACTTACCTTATTTAATAGTATGTAAATGAATATATATCTAAAATTTTATTGGAACCTCAAATAAGCTTTAAAAATATAAATGCTTTAAATAAAGGATTGAAAATAGCACAATATATGATATTACAGTAGGTGCTTAACTTTTGCATTTATTCAACAGATATTTATTTTCTATTATGTGCTAGTTAACAAAGTGTAGATTTTATAATTACTGTAGTAATTAGGGTGCACATGGCCTCTGCCTTCATGGGGCTTTTACTTAGTGGTGAACATTGACAAATAAATAATTATCAATATCTATTGGTTACCTTTGTCCTGGATTAATGAGAGTTAAACTTGTTTAAGAAAGCATCTTTAGAATACCTGAAACAATTAGATTAAAAGTGTTGTTATTTAATTTTGCTCTTTGTTTCTGAGAAAAATCCCAGCTTGTAAATACATTCATAAAATTACAGCTGAACGCAGTTGTCACAATTGGTGCTATAAACTACGTGGACAGTTTTCTTGGCCTACTATTTCTGTTTCCTAAGTTTTACAAAGTGAATTTCTTCATAAAACTTAAAATTTCTTTTCTGTTTTAGATAAAGTTTTGTTTTTAAATCTGAGAAAGAATTGGCAGACTGAATTGCACTTCTTAAAAAAAAAAAACTCTTAAAAGGAGCAATTGTTTTTTAGTGGTTAGAACAGAAAGCTAGGAATTCACATTCCGTAGTTTAATTCTTGGCACTCTAATTCCATATATGACTTTTCACGTGTCATTTAATTTTAGTCTGACTCAGTTTATCCAGTATAAAATTTATAAAACATGAGTAGTTTGAATATAAAGTTAAGGGATTAATTAACCTTTTTGTTTGCTCATTGAAATACATCAATTTGTATTCCTTTTGCAAACAGTAAGAAAGTGTCATATTTAAAATCAAACATCCTCAAATAATAAATGGAAAGTTCTTTCAAAGAATCAGGTTTGTGCATGCAGATTTGAGTTGATTTATATTTTGATAAATAGAAGAGTCAAATTATAGCTTGGTTACTCTTTTGGCATTAGTAGCTATAATATTTCAAGTTGATTTCTGGTGTATTTCATTGGCACTAATTTGGAGGAAATCTGAGAAATAAAGAGTAGGAATCTTTGTCATCCTGGTCCTTGAGAATAGTAATAAAATACAGTCAATCAATATATTTTATCCCCCACTCCCAATCCAAATATCAAATGTATTAAAATGTTTTCCTTGAAAAGCATCTGATATACTATGTTAGAAATATATTCTAAGGGAAATTGGAACAAGAAGAGTGGTAGAACAAAAGTTTCAAACTCTTATGCTAAGTGAAATGAGCCAGTCAGAGGACAAGTACCAAATGATCTCACTTATATGTGGAATATAATAAACAAAATAAACTAATGAACAAAGTGGATCCAGAGACAGAAGCTTGAAACAAACTGAGGGATCTCAGAGGGAGGGCAGGGAGGGGGGTGTGGGTGGGGAGAGACTGATCAGGGAACTTGTATGTTTATGGACATGGCCCATGGATGCGGACATTGGTGTGGGAAGGGCCTGGGGGTGGGATGGATGTGGGGTGGAGAGGATCAGTGGGGTTAAAAGGGGGACATCTGTAATGGTCTCAACAATAAAGATAAAGAAACATTTTTTTTAAAAAAGTTTCTCTCTGAAGAAACTTGATTTATTAGTATCCAGAGAGTAATTTAAGGCTTAGGATAGAGTTCCTTAATTTTGGATTCCCTGTACTCAGGCTGGGAAGGTTTATGAATGGGCTTAGAAATCCGAAAACCCTCTGAAATTGTCTGTAAAACTTTCTGTTTAAGGGCATGTGTACATTTTTCTGGGTAGGCAGTTAATAGCTTTTATTGATCTCTTAAAATAGTAATACTCAAAATAGCTTTAGGTCTTTGGGAAACTAGATTTTGGGTAACTATAGGCTGAGAATACACACATTTGCCCGTGTCTTTAAATTTTGACTGAGATGCTGAGCACTTCTGTTGGAGAGAGCTAAACACATACTTATTCCTAAATGATATACATGACTGTAATGGGTGTGTTTGTACATAGCTGTTGATAACCATTAATTTTCTTAGTTGAAGGTGAAGTGTCTTTAGGTACTTACTCCCCATAGGACATATATACCTTTGATATCTGTTACAGGCTTCATAGACTACTGAGCAAAACTAGGAGATTTACTGGTAATACAACAGACAAATTATGATAGAAAGATTCATAGCTTGTTAAAAGTGGTGTTGAAAAGCAAACTGATTACACTAATAAAATTAAATGTCAAGTACCCTTTATTGTGTTCACCTTAATTTTTTATATTTGAAGGAAAACTATTTTGATTAGAGAGTTAAAGCTATAAAGGGTATGGTCTTTGGAAACAGATCAAGATACATATCCTCTCTGGGGCCTGCAAAACAGAGTAGCATTTACTGTATAGGATTGTTGTGATACTGAAACACAATTATTTATATGAAGAGTATGGCATGGAATTGGTGTACAATGAGGCGTTCCCCTACAATGATAATGTATTACATTAATAGTGAAGAACAAATATAATTCTGTCTTATTCTATTGTTACATTTTCCCTTTTCATTTATATGTGATCGTACTATGAATTTTATAAAAGTTCATGCAGCAGTTAACAGAAAAAAGAAATTTCATGGCATGGTTTTTTTAAAAGGATTGACTTTATGTTGGAGGTATAACAGTATTTGTGTTATTCTAATATTGTTCTTTATAGAAGAGTTAAAATTGATTATTTGTTTCCTCAGAGGGAAATTTGCTGTGGTTAGACAGTGTATATCAAAATCAACTGGCCAAGAATATGCTGCAAAATTTCTAAAAAAGAGAAGAAGAGGACAGGATTGTCGAGCAGAGATTCTGCATGAGATTGCCGTTCTTGAGTTGGCAAAGTCCTGTCCCCATGTGATTAATCTCCATGAAGTCTATGAAAACACAAGTGAAATCATTTTGGTATTGGAATAGTAAGTATACACTTTAACAAATTTAAGTAAATGTATAGTTCCTACTTAATTGATAGGATAAGATGATTTAAAGTGTCAAAAACAAGAATGATAAAAATATGACAAGAACTTGTAAACATTTCTGTTGATAAAATATTAAAGGAACATAGTTTATAATCATATATTTTCACAGGCTAAATGTACAGCCTCACAGACACTAAAACTAAATAGCACAAAATATAAATAAATGATAAAATGTTTGGGGAATATGGTGATATGAATACACTTTCAGTGCTAATGGCACAGAAATTTGATGAATCGTTTTGGGAAAACAATCTGATAGTGAAAGAGAATTGAAATTATTTACATGTTTTGTCCATGTGTTTGACAAACATATCCAAGGAATAACGCAGGGAGAATAGAAAGGCAACTTGTATGAAAGGATGCCTAGCACGTTGCTCATTAAAGAAACACATTTATTTAGTATGTGTGACGTGCAGAATAACATATTAGAAGTTATAGCAATTGAAATGAAATGCATCTCTTCCCACAAGTCAGTGAAAAATTGAAAACACCCAAATATTCAAAAATTTAGAAGGTAGGGTAAAAGCATGGTTAAGCTAACTGGTTTGTTAACCGATATATTGACATGATTCTAAAATAGTGCCTGTAGCCTAGCCGGGCGTGGCTCAGCTGTTGAGCATCGACCTAGGATCCAGGCGATCGGGGTTCAATTCCGGGTCAGGGCATATGCCTGGGTTGCGGGCTAGCCGATCAATGACTCTCTCATCATTGATGTTTCTGTCTCTCTCTCTCCCTCTCCTTTTCTCTCTCTGAAATCAATAAAGATATATTTTAAAAAATTAAAAATAAAATAGTTCCTGTATTGCATCGCAGTCTGACACATTTGCAACAGTTGAAGAGATCAACTAAATGTATGTTTAGTATGCTTTTGGTTCTGATAGTCTTTTATAAAATAAATCTGCTTTATAATAAACTAAAGAGAGAAATATTTGTTTTAAAAATGCATAAAAATATAATTCTTTATAATTCTTTGTAGTACTTTTTTAGTAGCTAATCTTTACCATTGCTTTTTTGAGTTTAATATTAGATTAACCTAATTTTAGTATTTCATTATAGTAAGGATGGAGAGGTTTGTTTATATATTTATAAAAAAATCATTGTGTTTGTACCAGGAAAGCTGATTGCCTAGAATCAAGTTGTAAATGAAAATGATTACTTCGCAAAATGTTAAGTTGACAAGGAGTTCATTCAAGAATGAATACTATGTACAATTCCCAGAACACTAACATACTAAATAAAGTATATTATAGCACCTTCTAAATAAATTAGACTTGCAGAAGAGCCCAGAATACTACTAATATGATTTCATTTTTTGTGCATTTTTGTGATTACATTTGTCAGATTCTTCATCTGACCTTTAAAAAGTTACCTACTTGCATGATACCTGCATGTTTGACTATGTGAAAAGTAGTTAACATTTTTCCAAAACAGTAATGGAATTCTAGGTTTGAGGGTGAATATACATAAGAGTGTTGTCCACTTTCATAAAATCCCCTTTTTTCGGTTCATATAAATAGCAACAATAAAATGCATCAAAAGTTTTGACAAATTAGGACTTTTCTATTTTACAAAATTTCAAATCTACAGAGAAGCTGAAAGAATAGTACAGTTAACACTCTGCTCTTCAGCTTGATTCACCAGTTGTTGACATTTTGCCATATGAACAGAACCATTTACAATTTGTGGGTATCTTGATATTTCTCCTTTACGTGCCAGAGTATTTATCCAGTTTTTGCTAATGCCTGTCATATGCTTCTTATGTTATCTGTCTTTTTCCTTCCTCTTAGCTCTTGCTCATTTTCTATTTCCCACAGCTCCACCTATGTACCTCTTTTGTGGGAAAAATGGTAGTCTTACAACAGATATTGGTCAGTTTGCCAAACTAAAAGTAAGAGACAAGCTGATAGGCTGGCAATCATAGTATTTATTTGATCTTGTTACTGAGATAAGCAAACAAAAAACCTAACCCTCTTTTTTCACTTAAGAATATATTGTATATGCTTTTAAATGTATGATACAGTGTTTCTAAAATGGAATTTTAATTTAGCAAAGACTTTTAAAAAGTGCCTTCATAATCAGAGTTCAACAAGAAGCCCCAAATTTAGAAAGACTAGATATTGGCTAGATATGGAATTAGTATTTGTTACTCTTATAATAATAGCTAATATTTATTTAATATTTACCATATGTCAGACACTGTGATGATCTGCTTTGAACCTTATAACATCTGTTGTATTCAGTACTTTACATGGCTTATATAACTTAATGCTTACAGCAACCCAGTGGAGTAGGATCTATCATTTTTCATTATGTATCATTATGTTGCAGTAGAAGAAACAGAGGCACACTTGCTTACCATTGCATTAGTATTAATATCTGCAGTGTCTTTGCAGGAATATACAGGATGGAGTTCACTACTATAAATTTTAAAACAAACTAAATGTTTTATACTCAGATTATCTTTACCATGATAAAGTTAAGACAAATATTAAAGTTAATTTCTCGTCAATTTTTTGAGAGATGCAGAGGTTTGAGGGAGTTGAGGTATGAAGTATGCATGATCAGAGCTTTCACATGTGTTCCTGACCAGCTGTCCTATAGTTTTCTTTGGACTATCAAATAAAATGTAAAGCAGTAAACCCCTGTGGCCTCTAACTGCTGGCACGCTCTGTATGGCTGACTCGATTATAAGTTACATCAGCAGTGTGAAGGGTCAGTCCTGTGACTTTCTATGTGAGACTCAAATTTGTGACAACCATTGATTTTTTTTTTTTTCTTATGGCTCCTAATATATAATGACATGCTCCTTCCTCTTGGCAGTCACTGAAATTTCTGAATTTCAGTTTCAACTGCTCTGAAGAATGACTATTCCATCATTCATTCATTCATTCAGCAAACACTAAACACCTTCTACATGCCAGACACTGTCTTGATACTGTGGATATAGCAGTGAACCAAAGAAATAAAACAATAGTGTTTTTTAGGGTGAGTGAGTTCCTATTTTATCACATAGAATATGCTTTACTTGAGATATTTCCAAACATACCTTATAAATTTGATGACTGACCATCTTGATTTTTTTTGCATGATATTCTGACTGAGACATTTTTATCTTACTTGTCTTATTTATTTAGATTTAGTCCTCAAAAAAATATTTGTCAAGTGATATCTCTGTTTTACAGATGGGGAACCTCACATAAGTGATTGACCCTAAGTTATATTGCTGTAAATAACAGATTGAGGATTTAAATGTAAATCGTTTGATTCCGGACCTAGGGATTTATCATTATGCCTTTATCAACATTCTTTGGTTTTTCAATTCTTAATACAAACAAATAAATAAATAAATAAAAGATTTGGGTTCTGGCCCCAAGTATTCTTTGTGAAGCTGACAAACAGGATATTGGCTAAGGATATTAGTTAAGAATATTGATTCTCAGATTCAGATTCTGGTCCCTCCATTTACTATGTGACCTTGTACAAGTTGTTTTATCCTTTTTGTATTTATTTCATCTGTAAAATGGAAATAATAACCACCTACCTCACATGGTTGTCATGATCAAAATAGGTGATATTTATATTTATATATAAATGAATAAAATGGAGGCACAAAGCAGAGCTGAATCCTAGTGTTAGCTGTTATTTTTATTGCTTAGTTAAGGTAATTATTATTGAATTATAAAGCAATTTAATTTTATTTGTTAAATATTTGACTGTTAGTGCCCAGACTTTGAAATTTTCTTGTTTACTTTATTCCTTAAAGATCCCTCCCACCTCCCCACCCCCACACTCCTTAAATGTGTGTATAGAGACTAAAGTGTAGGTTTCTGTGTCTTTTCCTTAACAAGTATACAGTATTTAAAAGTATCATATTTAAGTCAATGGTTTTTCAAGTTTCTGTTATTTGAATTGTATTTCAGTGCTGCAGGTGGAGAAATTTTCAACTTGTGTTTACCTGAGCTGGCTGAAATGGTCTCTGAAAGTGACATTATCAGACTCATTAAACAAATACTTGAAGGAGTTTATTATCTACATCAGAATAACATTGTACACCTTGATTTAAAGGTAATGTAACATGTAATTTTAAGTAACACTATACTGTTTCTTCTCTGCTCTTGGTTTGCACAATTGCAGGCTGATACTGGTAGGAAACAGCAGTCAGGTCATGCTGGTGGATGGCCCTGGGTGTGCTCTTTGTTTGCCTCTGTGCTGCATGGACTTAATTTTGTTTTGGCAGAGAGGAGAAACCTGTGTGTGTGAGCAGCTCACATTAATCACTGGGCTCTTAAAAACCATCACTTTTCTATGTTCTAAGCCTTAAATCATTCCACCGCATCTTACTCTTACGTCCCGGACCCTCCTATCATATAAAGCTGCCTACCTCTAACGTGCAGAACTCGGACCTTGCCTCTGAAAGTAACTCCCTAGTCGTCCTTCCTTTTCCCCACATACTCACCCACCTTCCTCCTGAGGCTTTTGGCTCCTTTCCCCTCCCCCGCCAGATTGGTCAGACCCCTTCCCCAGCCCTGTTACCTCTTCAGCCTCTCATGTTCTTATCCTTTCTCCTGATGCTTCCTCCACAGCTACTGAAGGACCTTAACATCTGAGCTCATCTGTATCTTATTTTTTGAACATTGGACTCTTTCTATATAATCTCCCTTCTATAGACTTTACCATGCATCTTACTGTCTAAGCTACAAACCTGGGAACCGTCAGACCCAGTGCCATCATGTTGTACTGAACCATTTTTCATTTCTGGAAATGTATGCATTTTATTTCCTCAAGCCTTCTTTCATGCTGTTCCCCAGAGCACCTTTCTAATTGGCATAATCCTGTTTATCCTTTAAGATTCAACTTACACATGTCTACTACAAAGCCTTCTTGGACTTTCTTATGGGCAGAATTAAGCAGTCTTTATTACTGGGTATTCTATATCTCATAATCAATCAATCTATGTATCTATCTTTTTCTTCCAAACCAAGAATCCTCTTCAAGTGTTTTTTTTTTTTTACTTTATCATTGAATGTATAGCTCCTTCTAAATAATAGCTTAGCAAATGTTTTATGAATGACTCAATGAAATATATAAGCAATAAGTTCCATTTAATTTACCTCTGATTGGAGACTAGTAGTCTTTTATTGCTGTATATTACTGATTATATTTTTGTTGTGCTTTATTAGCCACAGAATATATTATTGAGCAGCATATACCCTCTTGGAGACATAAAAATTGTAGATTTTGGAATGTCTCGAAAAATAGGAAATGCATGTGAACTTCGGGAAATCATGGGAACACCAGAATACTTAGGTAAGAATTTCCTCTTATTTTCTTCACTATTTTGAAATATATTAACTAAACGATAACCTCTACATAATATATTTTAGCGTATGTAATTTCAGGATATATTTGGTTCAAGTATTTTAGTGCAATGAAATTTGGTTATTACTTGAATGAACTGTAGTGAATGTAAGATTATTGAGACAGTCACAACAATTCACAGGATATTAGGCTTATAAATTCGAAAGTTTAATGTTTGGGTAAAAGGGAAGTTAGGGAGCAGGAGAAAATGGAAAAAGAGGTAAACAGAATCAAGGGGCCCATTATTGCCTTTGAAGCCGGCTATTGTATTAGAATCACTTCTGCTTCCGTCCTGGTCCCAACTCTAATGCTGTTGATAACACAGATATCTTCAGTTTGTGGGAATTGTTAGCAGGACTCCTTGTTGTTGTTGCTGCTTTAAAATGTGAGGTTTTGCCTGTTTGTAAAAGGATTATAATCTAATAATATTGTACTAAACCAACAAATTAGATTATGAAGATGAAAGATTTTTAAGTTATGAAGCATCATATAATTTAAACTTTTTAAATTTATAGTAATAATCTTTTTATACTTATTTGTTTTTGCTTATATTGATATCCCCATGCAGGCATTGAACTAAAAAGAACAGGTGCTACTCAAGCTAGGTAGTTGACTTTCCCAAAATAAAAAATGAAGCAAATTACTAACTTTTGAATGCTAATAGAGGCCATAGTGTCCTAGAATGAAATATTGTAATTATAGATAACACAGCTCATTGAAGTATATGAAAAGGTTGTAGGTGGTGCAGTGACAGCTGACAATATATATGTCTTAGAGGCTTTGTTAACAAAACTGCTAGTCTTTGGAAACCATTTTTCTTGGAGAAATTATGAAACCATACTGAAACAAAAAAAAATATATATTATTCAAGTATAAATCTGAGTTTGTACTTTACTAATTTTGAAATTTATGGTAATGTTTAGAAAGTATAGATAATTTATTTTGCATTTTAGAAACATTTTAGCAGGGGAGGAGACAGTGGGAAGTTAATTGCATAGGAAATTAGGAATATTTAATCTACTTGAAAATCTAGAGCACTTCCAGGAAGCGTAATTTCCTCATAATGTAATTGTAAAATGCACTGTAAAATGTAAAATTTTCTATTCAGAATATTTCTATTCAGTAAATTCTATTTACTTTACTCTGAATAGAAAAACTTAGTCTAATGAAATAACCCAAACTAATTCCTAACAGAGTAGTAAAATAAAATTTTAAGAAGATTCTAGCTTCTAACACTTTACTTCTTCATAATTATTTTTTCTGAAATTAATCTTAATGATTAAAATATATATATATATATATATATGTAGAACATTATTGGTGCTTTTGAATCATACAGTTATATAATTTGCTTAACATTAGATATGTTTAAATATCCAATCACAGGATAATTAACATGATGTTAAATTTATATTGACCTTATATTAGTAGTTCTTTAAAATTAAATCCAGTTTTAATTTAATGTAATTTTCATGATTTTAAATTTGTCAGTATTGAATTTGAATTTTATTTTCTTTCAGCTCCAGAAATCCTGAATTACGATCCTATTACCACAGCAACAGATATGTGGTAAGATTTTGTTTGTTACCTAAATGCCTTTATTAAATGTTGGGTAGTGTATATTCTAGGGTTCTTTGATTCTAATTGTAAATAATAAGGCTTTCTTGAAAAGATTTTACTCAAGTGTCATTATTATGCCACAGGAAAGCATTTATCTATCTGTTCTTTTTAAGTAACACTCTGGCTCTGAACCAAAGGTACAGAAATAAATAGGAAAATCCCTTTCCTGGAGGAAGACTCAGCCTAGAAAGGAACAAAATAGTCACAGTGCTGTGCTACCTTTTCTATCATAAAGGTAAAATACTATTTAAGAAGCGTGGAGGAAGCAACAGACAAGCACCAGATAGAAGACATCTGATCTAGGTCTAGAAGAACCAGGGAGGTATTTATTAAGCAGAAAATTGAGGTCAGGTCAATGCAAAAGTTTAGTTTTATGGGAGTATATCATAAAAGATATACTCATAAACTAGGGTATACTGAGTTCTTGTGACTAGCACAGAGAAAAGACCATAGGGAGGAGAACTGGAATTGATTATGCAACTTTAGTTGGGACCACTGTCGGGGTCTGACTCTACAGACCAAGTGGAAGAGTTTAGCCTTATTCTCTGTGTTTCATAGAGTTGTAATGGGTTTAGTAAGGAAAAGGGTCCAGTGGCTAAGTAAATGAGTGAAACATACTCTATGTATTGTCTTTTTTTGGCTCTCCTGAGCACAGGACTTGTCATTAACTTATTTAAGGCTCTGAAAAGTTTTGTAGTAAAAGAATTTTACCTGCCCAACTTCATGCTTTGCCAAGCTTGTAGACTCTATTTTCACAAAAGCCCTGTTGATGTCTCACAGATGATTACTGTGTCATTGAATACCATTTTGGAAATGCTGCTCTTTGAGCAGCTTTGTGTACTTGGTAACAAATGTCTGTGTGAAGGGCAGACTATAGGTATAATGATATATATTTATACATTATATTTATTATTATATAACACATGTGCATATCCCCCACATTCTTTTGCTGTGAGGCAAACTTTTGAGATAATTATTTTAGTTTTAATAATATAGGAACTTTGAAAAAGCAATTTAAGCCTATAGGTTAATGTAGAAGTTGAGACCAGGAATATGTTGAATATCAATTTTATTTTATATAAATGTTTTAAGATTAACACATTTAAAATTCCCTCTTCCTCCATTTTTGTTTTTCAGGAATATTGGGATAATAGCCTATATGTTGGTGACTCACACATCCCCGTTTGTGGGGGAAGATAATCAGGAAACGTACCTCAATATATCCCAGGTTAATGTAGACTATTCAGAGGAGACTTTTTCGTCAGTTTCACAGCTGGCCACAGACTTTATCCAGAGTCTTTTAGTAAAAAATCCAGAGTAAGTAAGAACATTAATTTGTTTAACTACTATTACAAAATAAATAATTTATGTTTATTAAGAAACATATATTCTAAAGCAGTAAAAAATTGTTAGAAGTATACTCTCAGGTAAAATGGGGAAAGAGATGATATGAGAGATCATTAAATAACAAATTTGTAACTTCAAACGTGGAAAATATAAAATACAGAACAGGAAATTTTGGAGTGAAGAGAAGACTTGGGTTATTTTTCCCTCAACCTGCCACTAATTCCTGAAATTCTCTAAAATAATTAGAAATAGAAGGTTTACAATACACATGGCTGGTTGATTTGTGATTAAATAATTTTAGTTATGTAACAAGTACAAATGACTGATAGATCTTTAAAGATCAAATGTTCTTTGACCACCTACCAAAGAAGGGACGTGAAACTATGGCTTAGGACTCTTACCTCACTCATTGGCAACTTCAAAGCAGGAAAAGAAAAAGCTGACCTCCCTTTTGTTTACCAGGATCAGCAGTATTTACTTTAAAACGGCCTGGCTATCCTTAATGCAGAAGTTGCTGGGATCCTGGTTTTGTTACTTGTCAGGTCCTTTAATCTCTGATAATTACTTAATCTCCTGGAGGACTCAGTTAATTATTTTATTGGCCCAAACAATCTCTCACTGGCTAATATGTTGGACATGATAGTTGAAATAGTACTATTTGTTTCTGGTTATAGGCAGTTTTTATTTTCTTAAATATTTTTTTTACCTAGATTCTAAAATTTGTATAATGGGCACATTAATTTTTTTATAATCAGAAAAAAATGAACATGAAAACAAAGGAAAGGTTTTAATGGTAATAGTGGTTGTGTAAAGGAGTTTTGAGTATTATAGACAGGTGTTTTTCTTTTGAAATATTGTGATATTTGACTGTTACTTTTGTAATAGAAAATAAAGTTTAAAAACTCAAAATGTTAGATAAACATCATTGAAGAGTAGCTTTTGTTTTTAAGACTTAGCAGTTACTGCTTTTAATAACAAAATAATAATAGAGATTACAAATCACATATATTTTCCTTCAAAGGGTCTACAAACCCAAGAGACTATAACTTTACTAATTTTTATTTGTGAGGCTAACATACATTCTCAAGCTTTTTGACTAGATAGTTTTATCTGTAAGCTCAGTGATAAACGGAATTTTTAGCATGTCAGAATTAAATTTCTAGGTACTCCAGTTTTCCTATTATTATTCCCTTCTATACTATGATAAGCGTTATTTTCATAATAAAACATAACTTGATGATATATTGAACTGCAGACATTTCCAACTTGATTTTTAGTTCTCAATTTTTCCTTGGTATTTTCTCTCAAAGGAAAAGACCAACAGCCGAAATCTGCCTTTCTCATTCTTGGCTACAGCAATGGGACTTCGGAAACTTATTTCACCCTGAAGAAACTTCCAGTTCCTCTCAAGGTCAGGATCATACAACATGGTCGTCTGAAGACAAGACTTCGAAATCCTCTTGTAATGGCACCTGTAGTGATCGAGAAGACAAAGAGAATATCCCAGAGGATAGCAGTATGGTTTCCAAAAGATTTCGCTTTGATGACTCATTGCCCAGTCCCCATGAACTTGTTTCAGATGTGCTCTGTTAGCACTTTTCTCTTTGACTCATTTGGACTGAATTTGGAATTTGAAATCCACTCCAGTGAGTGATTGTGGTTTGTACCTTTATATATGGCTTGTTTATATTGTAAATGCACTTTTGCATGGAAGAATTTAGGAAATTGCTTTAATGTGTCATTACTAGTTATTAGCATAATTTCATTTCCTATCCTGAGATGCCAGCTATTCAGAGAAGAAAATACTCAAAAATAGAAGTGTGCATGTGATTTTGTTATTGGAAGAATTCAAGTTCAAATGGATTTATCAAAATTTTTTTTGTATCAGGAAAAAAAGTGATTTGAGTTATATTATGGTTGATGTAAACTGAACAAAATGAAGACATTTTAATTTAATAGGTTTTCTATGGTAAGTCCTATACCATGCCTCTATTGAGGAAAATTTTTTAGGATAATACTGTCAGATTTAAGCAAGAATATGTACTATTTATAGATTTTCAAGAGCGATTTTACATTTGAAAATGCTTTTTGATTGCAAATATTTTGAAACTACATAAGATTTTCATTATATGCGGTCTGCTGTATGAGATAGGTCCTTTAACCAGAGGGAAGGGGGATCAGAAAGCAGAATAGGGATATTCTATACAAGTTAGAGCAGAGAGAAGAGTAGCATGGCGTTTTTAACTCAGATGTCTTTTGCCCACTCTCAGTATTCTTCAGATGCAATGAGGTCTGACAGATGGAAAACGTGGTATACAAGATAGAGGATTTTCATCCTCTAGAATTTCTAGAGTAGAAGACACTTGGGTAAAAGTGAATGTGTCCCATTTTTAGCCAGCCAAACATATTTATTAATTGAGTGTAGAAGAAAATGCTGATAGACTGAGGCAGCTTACAGAATTTTAGATGTCTTCTAAGTCTTCAAATACAAGCCAGTCATTCAGAGTTCTAAAGTATGCATAAAAAAATCACAGCACCAGAACTATTAACACGGTGCCAGAGTCAGCAAGGTAGATGTGATCATAAAACATGATGATATTAAGCTTTTCTAAAGTTCTTGTGTAAAATTCCTAGTGACTGATGAAGCTCAGTAGAAGGCTATCTGCAGAGTGGCCCTTACTGATCTTTTGCTGGGACCAAGGCAAGTAAGAGGCTAGAGAGAGCAGAATGTTTGATCAATGGCAGGTGACTTTCCACCTAGTGTCTGTTAAAAATCTATTATATTGACATGTTAAGATAATTGTAATCTCATGACCATGTTACTATATCAAAAGAAATTATATTTAGACCCAAAAAATTCCTTGAGTTTTTCCCCTTTGAGTTATGTATTATTCTAAAATCCTTAACTTGTTGAAATTTGGTAAGACTCCAAATAATTTAAAACTGTTTTTAATAACCATCAGTTCACTTTATCTGGCTAAACGGTCAATTTCTTTTATATCTCCATCATTTCTTGAAGGAAAGTTACTTCCATTTGTGTGTGTGTGCATATGTGTATATGTATATGTACAGGTATATGTATATATGTATAGATAGATAAAATACAGTCTTTGGACAATTTTTTCTAGGCATTCTTCACTCTACTATATTGTGCTCAACTCAGGTGCCAAAGGAACTCTTGTCTTATGACATATGAATATACATTTAAATTCTTTAAGGAATAGTTTTTAGGGTCAATAAACTAGTCATTGAAGAAGCTAAAATGGGCTCTTGTATATGTAAAACTGATGAGTCTTTTCTAAATTGTTGATTGTCCATTTATTTGCCTTCAGTATTAAGCTAATGCAGGTAAAGCTTAGTAAGTCATTGGAGAAAGAGAAAATGGTTACTTTTACAAAAGACCATATTATATATTTAAATTTCTAGAGGAATTGTGCCAATACTAAACAAAAAAAAAAATCAAGAAATTTTGAATTATAAGCTAGTTCTAAAAAAAATATTTTATACCAACTTTCTTTTACTCTTAGGAATATTAAAATACTTTATATACTTCCTCTTAGTTAATAGAATACAGAGTTGTAAATTTCCAGACCTTTTTTTCCTAACAATTTACATTATGAAAAAGGAACTAGTGGTTGCACAAACAGTATATTCAGTTTTCTTCATAAGGGTGAATATAAATATTTTCACTAATTAAAATGTGAAAATAAAGTGAACCAATCTTTAGAGAGAACTTATTAACAAATGACTCAATTCTTATTCTTTTTTTCCCCCAAGATTGAAAGCAAATGTCTATCAAAAGCACTATGTATCTCTCTAAAGTAGGGATTTAGAGAGCCCCTCTGAGGTGAATAGATGTCTGCAACACTTAAACACATCTGAAGATTAATGTTAAATTGTAATGAATTTATGAAATTTAATTTTATTTTTGGGTAGGATCCCTAGATAGATGGGATTAAAAAATAGTAATATAGATGACAGTTAAAATTGTCATTTTAATCCCCCACCCCCACATAAAGTTAATCTAACTCTGAGTAGCAAAATTATAATGGCACTTTAAAGAAGTCAAGCAGTACTTGTTCTTCAGTTGTAATGAGATAAGGTGCCTGTGCCAGAATTTAAATCAACACATTGCTTCCATTATCAAGAAAGTCTTGATATAAAATAAGTCAGCTGATTAGTGATATAATTGATTTTCCTCTGGCATGAGCTTGATCTTTCATTTTGGATTGGTTGCAAGTAGTTCATGGGCCATACTTTGAATAACCTTGCTCTAAGCAACATTAAGAAATGTTGGTATTTTATAACTGTTTACATTTCCTGTTAGTTTTGAATTTTCAGTTTGATATCTGACTTGGGAACATCCTTATTCAGTGTTGTGTAAACAATTGTTCTTTAATTTCAAATTGTTTTAAAATTAAATTATCCAACTTCCATTTGGAAAATTATCATCCTATAATTTTATGAAAGTTTAAAAAACTTTAAACTCTAATTGTAAATTTCACACAAATTACAACTGCCCTCCATCTTAGCTTTCATTAAATATTCATGTTGTTTAGGGCATATTGAATGACATTGTTGTGAATCCTTCAATAAGAAAACTTGTTACATCAGTTTAATGATCCTTTTGGTTAAAAATTATAAAGCACTTTTTTACCTTTGTGGTTGCCTTTTGTTTTAAAGTATTTCTAAATGTGTTATTTGTAAAAGCAAACCTTCTTGCCTAGAGGTTCTAGCATTTGACCCACATCTTTGAACTTCCTTTCCAATACAGATGTTTATTAGCTCTTGTCTGTTGGAAAGGTCACATAAATATGTAAACAAGGTCTGTTCTCTGGTAATAATATATACTGTAAGAAAATGTCAGTGAATGGCCATGTACTACATGTTGCATGAAGACGAATAAGGAATTCTGATTCACCAGAAATGGTTGAACTGTTTATGGTGTGTGTTTTTTAGTTTAAGTAAATTGAATTTTGTTTTTTAAAAGATGAATAAAGGATTCTTCGAGAAGTTTATAATCTTCTGTGCACTAATGTACAGTCAATTCCCATTATTAATGGTAGTTGTGTTCTATAAATTCCCCATAGACAGTGAATACTGAAGCACTGCTCCTAGGAGAAACACAGGGTTAGATTCCTGCAAGCTCTTCATAACAGTTTTGTTAATTGATCGGTATATAACCTTTTTTATGTGTGTTTCTGTTTAAAGAGACCTTATTTAATATACAGTTGATTCATTAACATTGAACCCACGGCTAACAGCACTATAACTTTTGCCTGTATGAAGCTTATCTAATAAGTGTATTTTTTCCGTAAGGCACATTACAGCTTGTGAATAGGAACACTACATAGCACTTCAGAACTATGCTTTGGGACTATTTTAAACAGTAAAATCACCAACAAACATTACAAAAATGCAGAAAACATGATACTGATTAGATCACAAAAAGGACATTTGTTCTATAGTATGAGAACTAAGAAGGCAGTGTCATCTTGTTCATCCTCAACTGGGAACAAGTGTTATCAGGCAACTCAAATTTTTCACCACTGCGAACATGTTAGCTAACGACTGAAAGCAACACACATGCTGATTTTGGGGTTACAAATAAATTTTAGCAAGTAGGTAAATTTGCATTATGGAATCTGAATAATGAGGGTCAATTGTACATGCTAAAATCATCTGAGAAGTATGAAGTGTAATGAGAAAGGAATGGTGTGCAGAACTTGACAATTGAGAAATTGATGCATTGGAACTTCCTAATTGTGAACATTTCCTGTTTCATATCTTTTCTTTTTCTGGAACATAAACATTCCCAAATTTTCTCTCCTGCCACAATTTTTCTCCTGGGCGTTGAAGTCATATATATTTCTCTCTCTCTCTCTCTCTCTCTCT